TTATTCAAAAGTATCTTAATTAATAAATTTATTTAGATTATAACGTCTGTTTTATATATTGCAGCAACTTTATGTAAAATCTTACAAATTTGAATTCAATTTGGTGTGACATTTTATTTAGACGCAAATGTTGATATAATCTTATATTGGCGTTGTAAAAATGATCTTTTCTCTTAACGGTGTTGTATAAGGTTAGATGGTCCGTAAAGGCTTCAATCAGTAAATTTACGACGCGGCTAGTGAAGATTAAATTCCAATATGATCTTAACTCTTCACAATCAATAGACATTTTCACGCGTTTCGTAGCGTCAATAACGATAATGAACCTTTTATTCCGTTTTCATTTATTCTGAAAACTGGCTATCTCTGAATACACTTCGTGTGCAATTTACATAATTTTTCGAAGCATATCCTGTCAAGCACAGCAATTTTTTTTCGTCATAAAGGGACAAAAGCACTGAATACAAGGCTCTTCGGGAATGCTCAAAGGAAATATCTCCGCTGGCTTTTAGTAAATTAGATCCATTGTAAAGTTAATTTTTTCAACTTATTTGTCAATTTTAATGATACCTGACATTTTTTGGGTCAATTTGTTTTAATGAAATCATGAAAACCAAAGCTGTCGAGTTTCGGTGACGAATCGGTTATTTTGTGGCCACAACACACTACACAAAATTTACGACCCACATATTGGGCCCATCATTTTTGCTAATTTTTTTTGCTACAGCATTATTTACGTCCGCAACTCTGCAATAATTTTGATCTAGAACAATATTTGCATTTTTTAATTAAAACCGCTCCCTCCGAGATATAAAAATTAAATAGGTATGTTTATTTTGATGTTGGAAAAGTTAATTTAAAGACACTTTTCGACCGAACATAAAGTAATTAGAAGCGCAACACGAAGCCACAATTTCGCTGTATTTAATTTGACATGGATGCGCTCTGTTACTTTTTTTCTTATTAAAATGACAAGCTGAAGAATGAGAAGYAATTACGATTGTGACAGTTATGAATCTTGGCTCATTATTCGCGAAATTAAACATTAATGGCTTGTAATTTATATCGTGATTATTTTTCTTATTTACTTAGAGGGTAGATGTGTCAATTTTGGCGCAACAAAACAGCGTTGTCCCGTCTTAACCTTGACTACATTAAAAATGTTGAAGAAAATTGGATTCCGGTGCACTTAAATAAATTGCGTTTGCATTTGCCCCATTATATCAGTAAGTTAATTCAATAACACAAGTTCTCCCGTCTGCGGCAGTTATCTTGGAGTGGTGAAACTTGAACTATGTTGTTGTATCCCGGAATTGCGTGCCACCCCTCACCTTGTCAGTTATAATAATCCGAGCATTATGTTCGAACCAAATTTTGGCCGTCCAGAATTTAATTGCCTTTTCCCTCCAACTTCCCGAGCAAATATGTGATGGTAAGCCGAGGAAATCTGTTTTACAATGCAAATTGTTTACTAGCCGATACTGGCTTGTGGTTATTTGCGAGAAATTCGGGCAAAAAKTCCAAATTAGGTTGATTCAGCGAAGGCTGCGTCGAGATAAGTAAAAAATAAATGCGACATAAGAAAGAAATTTCATTACCAAGTTTTATCTGCGAAATGACATCTTCATGAAACTTTTCCAGACAATTAATTAGAATGTTTGATGTTGGGAAAAAATCTACGTTGGGTCCGTATTTTTCAAACTTTAGTTAACCTACCAAAAGTCCGCTTATGTAACTTTCGAGAAAACTTTGTCAGGCCTGTAATTAGTTTAATTCCTGAATAAGTTTTACGAATTTAATTAACAATCCCGTATCCGGTATAAATAAATCTTAACTTATCAAAGTCTTTGTTCCGGTTTATCARTCCTAAATACAAGTTTCAGAAATAACATTCAAGGCAAAACAGAAAGTTTTATATTTAAGAATGAAGCTGTTGTTTTGTTTACCTAAATACTTGGCTATGATTTACAGGCCTACCAGAAACTGTTTTCTTATTTTAGTTAAATAAATATACAAAGTKTTTTCTTTTTATTGTTACAAATTTAAATACGTGATAGAATATTTAATTAATTTTAAGACAAAAGTTTTCTAGAACATATGTTGAAAAATACYATACAGTGAGCGGCAAAATTATAGAATAATCTTATTTATAAAATTAAAAATATTGTTTTGACAAAAATGCTCAAACAAGTCAATTTTCTTTTAAAAAATACAGAATTTTCAATTTGATTTAAAATTGTATGTTTGCTTTTGTTTCACATTTTGGATGAGTTTTTTTCGAAAGCTTTATGAAATATTTAATATTTTGGTATTATCATTTCGACAATAAAAGATCTATTAAATTGTCTAAAAAAATAAGGGTTTCTATTTAACAAAAATGTCGATGCGTCATTACTCAAAAGCCAGAAAGTGTAGAATTTTAAATCAAGTTGAAAACTGTGAATTTTTCCCAAAACAAAATATTTTCAGTTTTAATAAGATTCTCTCTCCTCTTTTTTGTAAAAAACTATGGAATTTAGGATTTTGTTGCTCAAATAAGTGGCAAGAAACTACAGCCAAATAGTTAAAGTACTTTTTACCCTACACCCCTCAGTTTAGGATGCTCCTGATTAAAAATTTTGACATTTGAATACAAACATTTAAATTCCTTTAGGTATATAAAGGTTATTATCTGTACCTACCAAATTTTGTAACTTTATCTAAAATGGTTTCTGAAATATTGAGAAAAACCCATTAAAAAACGCACTCCTGTCCTGTATTTTTTAATACATACTCACAGGAAACTTTTGTATTAAAATTGAATATTCTATCACCTGTTTCAATTTGTAACAATAAAAACGAAACACTTGTATATTATCAAAAATAAAAAAACTTACAAAAAAATTATAATTATTGATTTTTTCGAAAGCATAAGAAAACACAAACCCATCTCTGAGATAATTTAATTTTTGGTTCAGATATACTTCTTGGTATTCCGTGACGAAAGATTGGTTTTACTGACATTAGATTTCATAAGTCCTTAACTGGATTAGGAGGTCATAATTTGGTAAAGTACGGAAGCCCAATAAAAGGAAGCGGAATTCGAGGACAGGGAGATAGTTAATTAATTCTCTGATTTGCAAAATCGGTGGTGACTGTACTGTAACCTGTGCCCTCCCTTATTTTTGGATTACATGTAAAGTGGTTACGATAGTGTCTGTTAGATGTTTGTACGTTTGTAAGTGTAAACGCAATCACTTTTATTTAGATATAGTATTAGAAAATAAATCTTTTTTTTTTACCATTGTCGTTGGCCTTAACCCCCTATCATGGGTTTAAGTATGTGACAAAATTTTATTAAGATTTAGACTCTATTTGTTAAATAATGTTTATGTTTAAGTTACAGCGTAAAAGATTCTCAGAACTTTTCAAATGCAAAAAAAAATATTTACTTATTTCAAAATGTTCAAAAGCTGTGATTTTTTTAATGAACTCCTGCAAATAACAATTTTCAGAAAAAAATTGACATATTTTAAAAACTATGACAGAGAAGTACCAACAACTTGCATGTATTTTACCAAGTTTGAAAGAGCAAATTCAAAAGTGCAACAAAAATAAGTGATTTCCATTTAAAATTTTAAAGTTGGCGACAATTCCTCATAATTCCGGGAGTTCAGCCATTTTGGAAATAAATTATCTGAATTGAGAATAGTCGATATTGGTTGCATACAAAATTTTAAACTCATTAGAAATTGTAAAGTTTCTAATGTAGACCCTACAAAAATCACTCTATGCAGATATTTTCCTAAGATTGGCCGCATTCAACAAATAAACAGTATTACAACAAAATTTTTAAGAAAGCTTTTAAAAAAGCTCTAACAAAAGTATCTTTTGTACTTAATTACCTAAATTATTGAAAATAATAAAAACTTTAATTTACAAATTGCAGGATTATTACACAATAAGAGAAATCCTTAGATGAATAAACAAGATATACTCGTACGATATACGAGTTTAATACAATTTTATTTTTTTTTTAAACCTAGAAACTCTATTATTAAGGGCATGATTTGTAAAAAAACAAACCTCAATTTTCGTTGAAAAAAAATACTGTACACTAGACCATACCTTATTTTTATTTATTGGTAAAAACACATTTTTTTAATTAACTACAAGTATCTGATCATTATATTTACTTTTTTTTAAAGTAAGACTCAAACGGTTTGCTTGCACCACATCACAAAAACGAATGAATTTGTTTTTAATTAGGATTTAAATTGTACTGTACTAAAACGAACAAAGGATTAAAACTTGTCCGAAATATCGGCTAAATACTAATGAGCGACATAACCGAACAAATTTTAATTAACTCTAAAGAGACTAAATGTAATGTTTGCTGTAATTCATGTCACGTTTTCAAAACGATGCAGAATTAAAATCAAACGAAAGTGATGCCTAAGGCGGTTTTAATTCCAGAATTTTAAAATGAAATTTATTCAATAGCAGTTTTCCGATATATAAACATACATGTGGATATATTGCAAGGTAATCCTGAAACGTAAATTCAAAACCCAATCTCAAATCACCATATTATAACTAAAGCAATAAAACGCAAGAAATGTAACAAAATTCATCGATGAATCAGTTATGAGGTTTATAAGGGAATCTCTCAAACCACAGTTAAATCTATAATAAGGCGTTATTTCTGCACAAATTGAAGTAATAAAATTTTAATTAAAAGACACCTGTAGCTTCCGCAGCGATAATTATTTTTGATTTGTTCGATTTACTGATCATTTTCCCCAGATTAAAAAAATTTTCACTTGACTTAACAAATTTTGTAAAAAATTCAATTTTCTCATCCGGTTGCTTAAAACATTTTTTTGTCACAAGTAAACAAATAATAATTTTTCCGGAGCGTTTAATGAAAATATCAAGTGAAGAATACGAAGAGAAGTAAAGCAGCAAAAGGCGCTCAAGTAGCGCCGCCAGGTTGCAAGTTTAAAAAAGAACTCTTGTACCTGAGAAAACACCAGAAAGTGTTAACAGCAACCTGTAGCAACAGCAGCTACAGTAAAAAAAGTCACAGCACGACGCAATCACGCACATATCACAACTAGAGCCGAGTAAACGAGCTGTTGTTAAGTTCCCGGAACGAGACCCGCCAACGGCCCGGAGCAGGCAGACAAGACTCCGGTGTAACAAGTAGGTAGACGGTGGCCGGGCCAAAATGCGCGCGCAATGCTGATACATCGAACGCCGTTGTCACAGCAAGACATGTATACACTTGTTGTACACAACATAATGAGAAATTTGATTCGATATCAGTGCTAAATGCTGCCAACGAAATAGTTTTTTAAGGTAATTTGAGCAAAATGAGCTTTGGGACTGATTGCTCCGGGGAAGAGACTCCATTGTGTGAAAGCGCAGGATGCGCTGACGAGGCGTCCTGATGAGTTGAACGGCTTCGTTGCTGCTGCTTGTCTTAGATTACACTCGTTTTATAATGTAACAAGTTGATATTTCGCTTACAGTTTTTACAGCTGTTATAAATACGCTCAACAACTTAATGGTGGATGTTTTACGGTAATTTGATGTTCTTAAAGATTCTAAATAGATTTTACAGCTTTATTTAAATTAGCTTGAAATAGAAAATTTGTTTTTAGGTTTTACGTGCAAGTGAGTGATAACTTTAACAACTAATAAATAAATTTGAGGTGTCAAGTCGTCGACAAACCAGACAGCGTACGAATGTGTCTTTTATCTTGTATGTCATAAATTTATAGTTCGTTATTTGTCCTGCTTCTATCTTTACAAGCTGTTTCGTCTAAACTGCACATTAAAGGATTTCTTGTTCTAACAATGATACGTACCTGAAAATTGCACGACCCTCTGGAATAACTAATCTGAATTTAGTATATTTAATATGATTACCATAGTAACTCAAAAATTTTCCGAAAATTTTTTGACTCATTAGCTGCCATTGAATTTTTATGAGGGAGGTAAAAATTTTACCTCCCAGAGAGGTTACATACATATGAAAACTTTTATTGTAATTTTGACATATGACAGAAAATATTTTTACTTTCTTGGGAGGTAATTGGCCATTTTTTTTGAAATTAGAGTGGAAAAACTTACTTTCTGTTAAGATCGTAGGAAAAATAATTACGGATTTACGGAAAACCGCAAAAATGGAATGAAAAAAAAAGTAAATAATAAAATTATTAGAATATTAGATTAAAAAATTAACAAATGTAAAAAAACATTGAAAAAATAAACAGTTGGTTTTAGGCACATAGTACTAAAACTTGTTAAAAGACAATTAAACAAAGAATCCAAAAGTGGTAAAATATACAGGGTGTTCCATTAAAAAAAATAAATATTGTCATAATTATAAAAATAATCGAGTTATGGCTTGGGGCGTTTTTTATAATACATCCTGTATATATATTTTTTTTAACACAAAAACTAACCTCAAATATTCAGTAAAACTTTATTTTAAACATCAAAAATTAAAACTTACTTACTTGAACTCGTGATGTTATGCAATTTTCACCCGAATACCCCTGATTGAATATAAATTTTTTTTTCGTGATTGGCAAAAACTTGAAAAAACTTTCCGGAAACAATCAATGCACTCGGGATATTATAAGTGAAAAAAATTTCAAGATAGCATTCTTAACTACAATCTAACAACTACATCTACATTTTTATTTTTTTGAAAAAGTATTTGTTGGTTTTTTTATAGTCAAGTACAGCAGTTTTCAAAATTTTTGGTGTTTTTTTTAATTTTTTAATTTACACCTTACATTTCAAAAACTTATAACGATGCCATTTTTAAATGCATATTTTAAAATTAAATTAGTTGGTCAAAAAGGAGTTTTTTTATTGTAATCATTATAATTGAAAAAAAAAGAAATCTTTAGAATTCAAGTAACTTCAAGCTTCAAGTACCCATATATTTATTGTACGAATTTTTTTTTTGAGGAAATTTTAATTTTGCATTGATCTGTATTAACACTTTCTACGTCTATATTTAATAGTTTTGAAGTTATGTATATTCACTTTCTGTTGGCGTAAACGACTTGTAATGTGCGATTTGCACACACAAATCTTTACAAAATACCTGTTCTAGCACTATTTTTTAGTTACACAAAAAAAAACTTTCTAAAAAAACTGGTAAACATTTTCACAATTTTCATCTATTGCAAAGTGTTACATACGTTGTTTAATCTGTATGCTTTACAAGTATTCAAGTTGTTTCATAAATGTCTGATTTTTGGTTTTAAATTTTTATTGGTTTTATTGCAAAATTTAGTGTTTAAATTATTTTCACCCAATAATACAAAGTTGAAACGAAGAAGATCTCAGGGTTTATTTTACATTACTTTAAAAATTATATGCTTAACATTATCAAAAATATACTATTTACATAATTTTGAAACTGATAATTATTTCTAAATTTTTTTAATTAGCAATGTAACTTGACGTAAATTACTAAAATTAAATTTATTTTGGGATTTTATAAGGCATAAAATTGCAAAACAACTATTATCAAAATTTTGTTAGAGAAAACTGGGATTGGAAATCAAAATTGTTTAGTGTCTGAGAGTTATCATAAAGAAGAAATCTAATCAATAATTTAACGTCAAAAGGTTCAATACAATACTCAGTAATTTTTTATTAAATTGTTATTTATTAAAATTAAAAAAAAACTAATTAAATTGTTAGTAAATTGTTAANGCATGTATTTTTTTTAGATTGTTTACTTTTCTTTATAATTATGGTCCATAAAGTGTAATAAGTAAGTGTTAATTTTTTTTTGTTTCCCACAAATTCCCAAAACAGATATTTTTTATTTTTTTACGAAATGAGTGAATAAGTTTAATTAAAAACAAACTTAGTTTTAATTTTAACACAGCGTATCGTAGTCTTTAAATTACTAAAAACATATGCGAGTTTTGGTGACACGCTGTGTTTATAATGGTGGATGCGCCGGGCAAACACCTAGTACTATTAATAATGTTATAAGACAATAATATTATTTTAATTTTACTTTATTATACTACTTTATTAAATTAGAAGAAAAATGGCTTTTAAATTTAAAAATATCGAAGTTTATTTTACCATGTCGTTCAAATGGTCAAAATATGGACAATTATTATTAATTGAATTGATTGAATAATTATTACACTATTAAATTCTACCTTTAAAAAATTTTCAATGCTTACTTTTAAATATATAAAATAAGAAAGATATGAATTTTTAACGGTTTTGCTAAAATTATAACTTTTTCTATAAGTTAAAAACAGACAATGTTACTAATAATTTTTTTTTGGAAAACCCCTATTGTTTTATTATAAATTTACCAACTTGTACACATATTTGTATGTTTTTTAATAATATTTTTTTAAATTGTCTTTTGCACCTCTTGCACTAAACGATTATCTTGAAATTTTTAATTCTCACCAGTTTGTAGTCAAAACGCGTAGTGGTTTAAAATAAACGTTTGGTGTTCTGAGATAAACAGTTATTTTATTTAAATATTTCATTAAAATAAATAGAAAAAGTATTCTTAGGGCCAATATATTCAGGATAATTTATTACAATATTTTTTATGCTTTGCTTATTTAAAAATGTGACAGAAACTTGTTGCCTACTCCACAATACAAAAAGAAAATGACACTGACAAATTCTCGGAACCGCAATCGTTAAAAGCAACAAGTTCGGCTTGCAAAATTCAGAGAATCTGAGAGAATTGCAAGTTTGCACACTATTAAAGAGACAAGACAAAAATAACAACATGTGGATTACAACAAAAATAACACAGATTTTATGCACCAAATACTCCTAGAAAGATAAAGATTGCGTTTAATTGATATTTTTACTAAAACTTTTTATTTTATAAATCAAATGTTTTTAAATATCTCAACAATAAATGCCTATTCAGTGTTGTTTCAAAAGTTCTTGTTTACTTATTATGTTTGCAACAGCACATAATATTCCGCTAAGGAAGACTACATATGGCTTCATATTAAAAAACTTCCTTGTGATGCACATTACATGTCACGTGACATTTATTGTGGATCTAACAAAACGACGACTCCTTTTCCGACTTCAATGTTGAGTTACGTTGCTAACAAGTTACACAATACGCTTTACCACAAAGGCAGAAGCCAACTGGACAAAATAGTTTGTTATGGAGCTACAAATACAAATCAAGGTGTACAAATTCAGCTGATTTACTCGTTTRAWAAAGGTGGGTTTATATTCTGCTCTGGTACTCAATAAAATATTATTGAAATGTTCGAGTTAGTAAAAAASCAGTTTTAGAAAAAGTTCTATTCGTTCCTAGAAATATTTTCACCACTCAAATGCATTAAGGACCTGCACAACAAACCGCAAGCGATTGCGGTATTTCAGGACATTCGTATTCCAGCTAGATTTAGAAGGATACGYATTTAGACTTTAGTTGGTAAGCAGCGACTTCGGCATAATTGGTGGAARTTWATCCTTCAATTTTCCAGMRAAACTTTTTACTTTTATTAAATTTTATTCAGTGGTTGTTTTAGAATTCAGAATGYGCTGATTTTGATAGGAGAGTTTTCGTGTTTTTCTAAYGTAATAACCACAGAAAGATAAACATAATGGAACAGGTGGTGGTGAAGTGTTATGATTGAAATAAAACCATTCAAAATAAACCCTCGATTACATAAAACGGATTTAAATTAAATAGAACTGGGAAATGATAGCTATGACAATATCAACTTTACATAATACGATTCRATTGCAATTCAAAGAACCAAAACAAAAATAATTAGTAGAATAACTCTTATTGGGTAACCCATTTGATTACACAATGATGCGTTTCAATAGCCGCATTAGCATCATCAGGTTAGTGGTGGTATTTAAATTAAAGTAGAATTTAATCGATATTGGGAATAGTTCACGCTGCGAAAACATGCCAATTTTTTATTTATCCGCAAAGAATGGATAAAAAACGAATTAAATTATAACATTTGGTTTCAATTTCTGTAAGAATTTTTTTGTTATAAATTAATATAACGTTTTAAGGTTCGTCAGTTAACAATAGAATGACAATCAAGGAGAAATTATTTTTATTCTATCAGAGAAAACGAAATTTCGGAAGTTTCTGCACCAGGAAAT